CTCCAAGATAATCTGAATGAAAAATAGAACATGTTCTATTTTTCATATATTTTCTGAATCAATATCTGTGTTTCTGTATTACACGATACAGTAAAATCTGTTTACAGTTTCTCTTTCAGAAAATACATGAAAAACTGAACCGTGTCATACGGGCTTAAGCGTTACCAACACCAAGGTTTTTAGGAATCTTAAACATACCTACACCACAGAACACTCTAACTACATCTGTGCCTACACCCTCAACCAAGGATAGCTGTCACGGCTGTCCTGTCAATGTGTCAATGCTATCAAGCACTGTGATGTTTACGAAAATGAGAATGTTTATAAAAGACCTTCAATATAACAGAAAAGGGAAATCGCTTCAGATGCGACCCAATGAAAATGAGGTAAGGAGTCCCAATAATTGGCATATCTCAACAGAGTACTAAATTGGTTTCTGACCGTCAACATTATTCCAACCTGGACAGTGTCATTTTACAGATTTTCGGTATCCCATCAAGTAAATATCGATACAAGAGTTCAATAACTGGATTTGAAATACAGGACAACATAATGACGACTCCTAAAATCAGTAGCCAGTGATTTGTACTAGCGAAATGAGTGAAACCATGTCCAGTAATACTTGGCCATCCCATACAATAATAGCCTGTCTTTGGGATGGAAATCCAGTAAAAACCGAGATTGAAGGTAGTAGGCCTCATCTCTCATTCATGACAAACAAACTGACAAGTATATTTGTGTTTTTAGGGTAGAGTCTACGATGGAGTCAGGCGTTTTATCGTATCGAAACTGTGTAAATAGAACTTTTTCTTGAGATATTGCAATAATAAAGAATTACAGCGTTTATACCAAGCGTTGGGTTAACTAGGTGACTTGTGCTAAGTGAAATTTACAACGTAACAATGTCTTCTATCTTCACTTATCTTGTTTAGTTATTGGCAACTGTTTCCTGTTAACAGCCAAAATCTCTGTAATCTGGAAATAGATTATCAGAAAAACTGTTGGCACGAGTCACTAACTGAAAGAAGTTGTGTTGAACCCAAATTACCTAACTAGTAGTCGGATGCTGTGGTTAATGAACCTAAATCATTATCTAAATGTACCCAAAATTCAGACATTACAACTGAATAAAGATGCAAAAATTTATTCAACATACACAAACCATACAAAATTATTTAGAAAAAAGTAAAGAACACTTTTGAATAATATTCATCTGTAGTAACCAATGTATGGTTCGAGGCACTTTTTCCGCAGAGGCATGTCAAAGAGTGATACAAGTAACTTAATAAATTTAATATGAAAAATAGTAAAATTAATTCAAGTCCCACATTGAATAACTAGTCTTTTTCTAGCAGATTGGTTATTTCTTCGAAACTACCTTGCAATGCATCAATGAAGTCTAATCCATTTTGATATGGTGAATAACTTGTTACTAGCACACCCAATTCATCTTCTTTTATTATGTACCTGAAATTATAATTATCAATGTATACTTAAGAGGAGATATCAAAGTAATGAAATGAATGAAAATAATGCATTGATTAGAAAAAATAAATCAGCTTCAAGACAATGGATATTGAAGTAATTACTTACCCAACCCCTAATCCGTCTCTGACAACAGGCCCAAATCCTCCAGCAAAAATAGCGGGGGAATTGAGGGTGCTGGTTGATAGAATTATATGATTAATCATAGAATAAGCAGGGTCATCAAAAATATTACAAAAAGTATTTGTTTTATCCGCAAATTTTTTTAAAGCAAAAAGATGTCTGTCAAACCCTTGTCCCATAGCCGCTTCTCTTGTCAACTGGTTGTGTAATTTTGAGCAATCTGAAATCATGTTTTTCAGTTCACTTACAGCGGGTTTATTCTTTGAATTGATTGCCAATGTGAAAGCCTAAAAAATATTAGTCAAACTAAATTTTCAGTATAGAGTGACAATCTGACCTTTGTGGGCATTGTGCAAGGTCTGACAGTTTCTGTTCGGCCATGTTTGAAAGCAGCTGTACTGCAGGATTCATATGTGGGAGCAAATTTTCCAGTCATTCTGTAATATCCAACCTGAAATATATGTATCAATCAAAACGGTTTTATTGTTGGATATTACAAAATTCTACTGACGACAGTCTAAAACTAGAACTCTGAAATAAAATTCAGTAGTAAGTTTGTACTTAATGGTGAAAATATGCATATATTTAAACTAGCTGGGTACATGGCAAACAAAAGTGAATACACTCAAGTTTGACAGGATACATTTAGCTGTGAAGCAGGTAATGAATGTCAGGGTATATTTATTAGTATACAAGCCATAAATATGATGCAATCAAATTATATTATAATTAAAATATAAAACTCATAAAAATTTAATATGTTGAAAGATCATCAATAAGGAATTTATTTGTGCTGTAGTAGACTTTTTCTAGTGGATGTTTCTTCATATTCCTATTGAACACTAAATTGATGTCAAGTTCCGCGACATGCATAAACTTTATGCTTGAGGAAGCTATTGTATAGCAAAACACGGTTTTTGTAAAACCCTTTTATAGTGAAAATCATACAATAAACTGTATTGATTAGTTTTTTAATATGGATTTTCATCAAGTATCAGCCGGTTCTATTCAATTATTGATGTCAAGTTCTAATAGATAAAGAAAGATTATTGAAAAAGCTTCTTTTCATTGTAAAATATCGAATGTTTGATTTGTGTTCTTGAGTGTGATAAACTGTTCTAAAATTGAGAGACAATCTACAAAAAGTGGTTTGAAGGAGTCTCGAGTTTTTACCACGCAAACATTTCTTGAATCCCTTTCCTGGGGAATAAAAACAATTTGGTTTTGAGTACTCTCTAATGAGATTCACAGAACTCAAGTATTACTGTATCTTCGATTGAGATAATTTGAGTGCCTTCTTTGTTGGGAGTTGTTCGGCTACAGCTAATTTGTGGGTTTGTGTGGTTTGTGACCAACAACAAACATCTGATAAATTGGTTAAGGCTTTCGCGATAATGGATTTCTATGTCTTCCCGTACAAGCCGACTATGATAATTCACCGCTTGACTTGGATGGTGGTTCGAAAGTGCATGCAGATATCTGTCTGTATGTGTCGGTTTTCGGTACCCTATATGTGTCAGTCGTGTGCCACGCCTCTCGACGAGTACATCTATCCGTTGTTTCTGTTCAGTCTCCATGGTGAACTTGATGCTAGGGTGTTGAGCATTTATGTAGTCTAGAAATAGTTGTCTGTCCCTCCCATGTCTCCAGATAACGAAGGCTTCATCCACGTATCGTAGCGTCGATTACCTTCTTCTCAAATTGCTCCATAAAGAAGTTGGCTATCAACGGGCTGATTGGACTTCCCATCGCAACACTGTCTAATTGCTCATAGGAATCTCCTTTCCATTGGAAATAACTTCCCGTGAGGCAAGACTTGAAGAGTCCGACAATATCACTTGGAAACAGGTTAGCTATCTCTCTCAAAGAATTTTCCAGCGAGACGTTGGTGAACAAGACCATAACGTCAAAACTGACCAGAATATCATTTGGTTCCAAGGTTATATTCTTAATTTTTTCTACAATGTATGTCAAATCCGGTGTACTCACTATGGGTCTCAACGAAACTTTTTTTTTGTGTATCTTCAGAAGACCATAGAGCCTTGGCGGGATGGCTTCTGTTCTCAGAAAAGAGGAAGCGGTAAAGCTTAACCGGATTTGGAATCCCTTACTAAATGATGCTAAAGTGACAACAGCTCAATGCAATGTTACGTCATTAACAGGATAACACTTGGGCCAATAGCAACGTATCAACAAAAGTTGCGGAATACCTGAGTGAACATAAATACAACCTACAAACTAGAAATCACCCGTCATCGGTGAATCATCAAGATAAATAAATAAACCTCTGAAGAAGCCAGCCACTCATACTGGCGAAACGTTAGGATGCAGTTCCAAACTAATACGGCCTTCAAACCCGAAAGGAGAAACAAACATTTGATCGGAATTCGAAATCAAGCAAATCTCAATACACATTAAAATAATTGAATATAAATATTGGTATTTGCCAATATTGGAAGATTGGTTGACAGACTCTTGGAATTTCTTTCTGAAACGAATGAATGAATCTTTATTGAATAGGAAATTGATCCTAATATAAATACAATTGAAAAAAGAGAAAAAAAATCAATAGAAAAAGAAGATATTATTAACATGTACCTGTACTATGCCGAAGAATTCATGTATCTTCTGTGAACATTATGAACTCATTATTGACGGCTGTGTGGACTGTGACGACTTATTATATAATGTTCTAAAAGAACATGTTACCATCTCTATTGAAAGATTACCTGAAATCCCAACTGCATTACAGCATCAGGACTCACAGCTTGCTTCTTACAGACATTTTTACCAATTCTTTTGAAAATTAAATAATCAATATTTAGTTCTTCACAGATTTTTGAATATTCTTGTTTAGCTTCTTCAATTGATGTCTTAAGTTTATTATTCAAATGCATATCTAAAATGAATGTGATAGAAAGTAAATACATTTTTAGGAATGTTCATACCCAAACGAATTATATTGTTAATATTTTCTTCATGAGGTTTTGTATCAGGAGTTACAAATTTATTTTCATTTGTGTCTTTGGAAATGTCCTGAACATATCTCAACACTGCTACTCCATCTCCCCAAGAGTGTTCAAAGTTAACTGCTGCATGACCATCTTCAGAAATTAGAAGAGAAAAGGATTTGTCAAACCACCTAAAAAAAACAACTGCAATGTACAACGTAAACACATTTTGAGGGCTAATAACTTAAATAATGTTCTAGTTCTTAGTTCTAATCACGATGTAATTTTGTTAGTCGAAACTTAACTTCACAAAAACATCTCTACCATGGAAATTGAAGCTAATTACTACTGAATTTCACAATATTGAACAAATCTTTGTGAGGGTTGGTGTTGGGAAAGAGTTTAATATTATTTTTTTTCGCTTCCTGGGAGACGTCCACTTCTTCCAAGTCTCCGAAAAACACTGCAGCCTCAAGGGCTTATTGCGTTTTTTCCAATCTTTCTCCAGACATTCATTCAAACAATCTTGTTTCCTGTACTAGTAGGTACAGGTCTTTTGCTGACCTTATATCATATTCTTCTGGACACAATTTGGGTTGTCTATATATTATTCGTCTCTTGTGATTCAAAGTCTCACATTCACATAGAATATGACTAGCTGTCTGTCCGTTTGAGGCATTGCCTGCAGCTAAGGTCTCCTTTGTACAGCCCTATTTTGTTTAGGTATCCTCTTAATGGACAGTGTCTAGTCCTGAGTATCATGGCACCCATTAAATAGTCCAGCTATTCCTGTCCATCAGTTCCTAACGACATTGCGAATCTACTACCTCAAATGCAGCCTGGCTGCCTGAAAATATTGCTTATTTTGTTTAAGGCCTCAAATTAATATTTCTTGCGCATTGCAAGATAGCACACAGTTCAGCCTGGAAGACTAATGTGTACAGACTGAGTGGGTAACTGAAATGAAGATTTTCCCCACAGTAAATTCCACCTCCCCTTCCATGTTTCATTTTGGAGACGTGTGTATACCAGGTGTTTCTACCTCCACAATATGGGGCTAGTGGACACACCTCTATGCATGTGTGAACAGGAAGATGAAACTGTCAAGCATATCTTAGGCGAGTGTCCGGAGTTATCATCAATAAGAGAGTGTGTGCGTGCGGCGAGTTTTAGCCTACACCTGCCGATATAAAGGAGACGTCTCCTAATGACATAACCACCTTCCTGGAAAGGACAGGATGGACAATGACCTAGGAGGACAACTCCTCGGGAGGATGTACAATGGATCACATGTGGCCTAAGTGCTGTGGGCTACACTCACCCTCCCTACTCTACAGATACAGATGCCATGTGTTTCTGTAGAGCGAGCATGTTCTCAGGATGACTGATTATTCTCCACTGTGTCGAACATTTATTTCGGTGTCTCATGTGATCCGAGAACATGTTTGACGTTCGTTCCTCCACCTTTAATACGCAAGCCAGAGTAACTAGAAACGCCCATGCGAGCGCTTTCGAAAGCTGGTCGTGCTATCTAGGCTCTA